CACCAAAAGCATTTGTGAGCAAATTGTGTCGTGTAATCCGGTGTTGATAAAAGCAAAACTGGCTGGAAGCGGCAAGAGTTATATAGGCGAATATATGAAAAATCTAGGTTATAATGTGTTATTCGTATGTTCTAATAACAAGCAGAAGCAAGAAACCGAAGCCGACGCCGTAACATTAAACAAGTTTTTCAGTATTCCAATAGAAGCTGGAGAAAGACTACCGACATTTGACCATTCTGATTATAATTGTATTGTGTTTGATGAGCTAGGTATGGCGGGCACTTATATTTTGAACAGAGTTAGGGAGTTTAAGGATACGTACCCAGAGAAGATAATTATAGGAACTGCTGACGGGAAGCAGTTGAAACCTATAGCTGATTTAACTAACATCCAGCACCACGAGACATATTTAAACAACTGTCTTAATCAAATATTTAAATATAAGATTTATCTTAAGATATCTAAGAGACTTAAGACAGAAGAAGATAAAATTAAATTGAATGATATATATAATGACATTTGGAAAAATAAACTGCCCATTAAGGAAATAGTAAATAAACATTTTGAAACTACAAGCGACATCATGGAAGGAGAGCATAACATAGCCTATACTAATGCTAGGTGCAAATGGGTAAGCAAGACCGTAAGAAATAATTTAGGAAAGACAGATAAATATGAAATTGGAGAGCATGTGATATGCAGAGTTTATAAAAAAGAAATGGGGCAGGTGTTTAATGTAAGTATTACTTATGAAATTATTAGTATTGATGATTGGAAAGTAGAAATCCAAGATATCAAAAAAGTAAAACTATATTCATGACAAACACCACGACTTTAGACAAGCACTTTATACATGCGTATTGTGCTACATGTCATTCGTCTCAAGGGGCTTCTCTAGATAAAAGCATTACTATACACGAATGGGATAAATCACATTTGGTCAGCCGTGAGTGGATTTGGACAGCCCTCACGAGATGCAGAGATATCAATAAAGTCAAGTTTTTCAAAGCAGACGTAGATGATACTGATTTAAATGAAGCACAAGTAACCAGATATTTAGAACATAAGATTAAACAATATAAATTACAAGACATGAAAGCAGAGAGAGAGATAGACAACAAACAATATATTGATGTCAAATGGTTATTTGACAGGATTAATACCAGATGTAATAAATGCAGTTCAGATTTTGACATAGAAATAAATAATGGAGTAATAAATAGCAATATGACAGCCCAAAGAATAAACAACGATTATGCCCATCATAAGGAAAACTGTATATCTTACTGTTTAAACTGTAATCTCCGGGAAAAATAATATCTATCTTATTTTATATGGCATCTAAGCAAGATATTATTAATAATGTTTATTATGATAAAGGAGGCTTCGGGTCAAAGAACCGCACTTTACAAGAAGCAAGACAAACAGATAAATCAATTACTATAAACGATATTAATGAGTTTTTTTAGGAAGAATGTAGAACAGAAAGCCAAGCCAAGAGGACAGAATTCATTTGTAGCTCCTAACGCATATTATGAGTTTCAAATTGATTTATTTTTCATTAATGATATCCCTAAACAAAAAATGAAAGTTAGCATGATGTGTATTGACATATTTTCTAAGTATATGGTTGTTGTCCCGCTTATGTCAAAACAGCCAGCGGACATTTTAGCAGGACTGATGGAATGTATTAAAAAAATGGGTGGAAAGCCCAAACTAATTTATATTGACGATGAAGGAGCTTATAACAATCAAAGTGTTATAGATTTTTTGAAAGATGAAAAAATAGAGTTGCACAGAACCAGAGGACACCCAGCATTTGCGGAGAGGGCGATAAGGACGTTTAAAGATAGCTTGTATAAGAGGGTTGAGAACGATGAGAAAAAAGGAAAGGCTATTCAATGGACAGACTACATACACGAGATTATATTAACTTATAACAATGGAATAAAGCACACTTCGCACGGCTTAACACCGTCAGAAGCAAGAAAGCCTAAACATCAATTAGAAGTGAGTTTAAATTTAGGTATGAAAGCCAAAGAAATAGAGTTTATCCAGATTTAAATGTAGGAAATGAAGTTAAGATATTCAGGAAAAGGAGACCGAATGAAAAGGAGAGAGTAGGAGTATGGACTAAACAAACCTACAAAATAGCAAAGATTGAAAAGAAGTTAGGACAGGAATATTATTATATTGAAAATTATGACAGGGCATTTTTGAGACATGAGTTATTAAAGGTATAAATTTATTTCTTGGAAAAAAGTATTTAAAGAAATAAAAACTATATATATTATAATAGAAATGATGGAAACCGAAATCAATAATTATATCAATAAGAAATGCTACGATTGTTGCCACTTCAAAAAAGAAAATATGGAATTATATAAATTGAATTTACCTAATGGAATAGTTAATAGTATTATTGATTATTCAATGGATGAAGAAGATATATGCGAAAATTGTAAAACCTGGAGAGATAATCAAGAATTAATCAGATGTCATTTAAATCTGAAAAGAAGACATAATAGAAATGTTGAAGATGACATCTTAATATGTTTAACTGTGTATGAAAGACCGCCTTACGATTATGTTAAACAGTTTCTTAAAATCAGTAAGAAAAAGTATGACATGATTAACCACATTTTATGGATATTGTTATATCGTAGAAGAGAAGGGTTTGATGTAAAAGAAGACATTAAATCAAATATTGAAGATGAAAAGTTTAATGTTAAAAATACCGTGAGAGATATTAATATTATTTTTGAACTGATGCATGACAGACATAAGATATATACACAATTTAATAATCATCAATTAACTTATTATCCTGAACTTAAATTATAATCATACTATAATAATAACATGTAAAATATTATATGTTATAATTATATTTCAATATTTAATTTTATTTCTTGTAAAAAAGTATTTAAAGAAATAAAAACTATATATATTATAATAGAAATGATGGACACCGAAATCAATAATTATATCAATAAGAAATGCTACGATTGTTGCCACTTAAAAAAAGAAAATATGGAATTATATAAATTGAATTTACCTAATGGAATAGTTAATAGTATTATTGATTATTCTTTGGGTAAAGAAAATTTATGTAAAATTTGTAGAAATTGGAGATATTACCAAGAAGCAATCGAATGTAATTTGGATATTAAAAGGTTTAATGAAAGACATGTTGAAGATGACATTTTGATATTTTTAACTGTGTATAAAATACCACCTTATGATTATGTTAGAGCATTTATGAAAATCAGTAAGAAAAAGTATGAAATGATTGACTACATATTATGGATGTTGGAGTATCAAAGAAAAGAAGGGTTTGATGTAAAAACAATCATTAAATCACATATTGAAAGTGAAAAGTTTAATGTTAAAAATACAGTGAGAGATATAAATCTTATTTTTAAAATGATGTATGAAAGAGGTAAGATATATCAATTAAATTATTATCCTGAACTTAAATTATAATCATAATATAATAATAACATGTAAAATATTATATGTTATAATTATATTTCAATATGTAATTTTATTTCTTGTAAAAAGTATTTAAAGAAATAAACACTATATATATTACAGTTGAAATGTTATTTAATTATTCAAAGTGCGAATGTTGTAAAACTAAAAGGAATGATGTTAATATAACATTGTATAAGTTATTACCTGCTAATCTATGTAATAAAATAAGTGAATATGATGTATATTGTAGTCAATGCTGTATAACAAGAGACCTTGAAAAGTTTTTTGTTGAAGAACATAAGGATAAGGGATATACAAAGTTTCAATTACAATTGACATTCTTTATGAGATATCAAAAACGATGTCCTGTATGTTTTTACCATAAAATTGCTAGAAAGTCATTTGAAAAAGAAATTGATGAGTTCTTTAATAATAAAGATTTAATTAAGAGGTTTGGAGGGACAAGCGCAATTAAACCATATAAAGCATTTGTTAAAAAAATTCGAGGCATGTTTGATGCGATTGATTGGCATTTATTAAGTAAAGATAAAATAAACGAGGTCTTGAATGAATTTAGAATAACTAAATATCATGTATGGTCTTACTACAACACTAAATATCAAGTATGGCTACTAGTTAATTTGTTTTTCTGGGAATATATTTATTCAATAATAGGAAAAGACAATATCAAATATATAGACATTGGCGATATTGATAAATATGTAGATTACATATTTGAAGACATTTTTCCTGACTATAAATGTAACCCATAATTATTAATCATACTATAATAATAACATTTATACCCTTATATGTTATAATTATAATGTCAGTATAGCGTTTTATATATTGAAGATAAAATCCTACAAGGGACACCACGCCCCAAACAAATATATGATGAAAGTGATGAAACGAAGGAGGAGAGTGATGTTGTTGCTGTTCTATTTTTTGTCCGGGAAATGGACAAATCGTTTTTAGACAGTTCGAAAAAAATTTTGATGACAAATATTTTTTGCAATATATTTTGCAAAATTATTTTTTTTGAAATGGATGAGGCGAGGAGATTGAGGAAATGACATTTTGGAGGGTAGTTGGTGAAATGAATGAGGCGAGGAGAAAGGAGAAAAGGATGGCGAAAATTTTGGAAAAATGATGATAAAAAAACGGATGAGATGGACAGAAAGGAATGTAGAAAAATGATGAAAACAAATAAGGGTAGAAGATGGAAGATGAAAAAAAATGTAGGGTGGGGGGTATGTATGAAGCAATTTATTTGCGGGGCAAGGCCCCCGACTACTGATTTTGGCCCCCAGGAGAGCTTGCTGGGCTTGGCAGAGTTGAGACTTGCAAGCCACGTAAGAAGCAAGTCTTCGTTTGGGTAGCTTTGGGATGAAGAATGTGGGTAAGTGCGTGTAGTGTTTTTTGATCTTGGGGATGGTTTAAGGGAAACCAAATGAGAAACCCTCTTCTTTCTTTGGGGAGGGGGTTGTCACGGTTCCACTTCCTACTTTGAGGCATCCCCGCTACATGTCCCCCACCCCCCCCAGAAAGGCGGGTGCCTTTGATCCCCGGACGGCCTCGATGAACATGTACCAGAAGAGCCCGGTGTTCGGCGTCAGATCCCGGACGCTCAGCACAGAGAGGAACGAGGCCTCGAAGACTCCATTGGCCAACTCGGGGGCGGGGGGAGGGGGGGGAGGGGCCACTAGTTGTTCGACCCAACCTGCGGTCTGGCAGCATCTGAGGGTACCTTTGTTGGGAGTGGTTTTCATGGAAACCAAAGGCGCTCGATTTCTTGGGGGTTCTCCTGGAGACAAATCCCAACTGGCCAATTGACCCGTGCCGTCATCGTTGGGCTCCGTGTTTCCTTTTCGTTTTACAGTTTGATGTGGCTACTTGCTTGAACTAAACATATTGCTTGATAGTTTGGCGGAGGGTAATTAGGTATTTTGGCCAAGGGGTAGCATGCAAGATCATGGCCAGTCTTTCAATCCCCCAGATGGATGAATAGAAATAAAACTCCGTTTTTGAGAACCTTCAGTGAGAAATGGGACGCATAGGGGAAACCAAGAGTGTTCGACATGTGACTCACATGAATCGCAGAACAAAGACGAAGACAAATTGACCCTGCCGCTTTTAGGGGTAGTTCATTCATTTATAGGCTTATCGTGATTTGTCTTGCTATCACCCCTGGCCCCTCACACATCACCCCTGGCCCCTGACACATCACCCCTGGCCCCTGACACATCACCCCTGACTGACAGCCCACCGCTCTGTAAAGAAAGGCACATCCAAGAGGGTGACATTTACCACTTCACGTGTAGTGGAAGCATACTCGCCCTGTTTACCCCATCTCACAACTCCAAACCTGAAGCTTTGCGTGCCCAAGACTTGCAGGCTCTCAGGGACTGAGCTGGAATGAGCCCAAACCGAACCAGAACCATCCGTGGCTTCAGGGATCCCAAGGTATTTCCCTATTGCCCTCTTGAATCTCCCGAGGCAAAACCGGAGGGATCCCACCAATCCGCAAGACTCCGTTGAAATCTCCGAGAACCAGCGAGACGCTCGCCGCGAAACGCCTCCAGGAACTGCAGCTCGCCGCCCATGGCGGCGCAGGAGATGCCCAGGAGGCAGGCGAAGAGGCCCAGGCTTACCAGGCAGAAGAGCGCCTCGAGACGGATCCCCATCCCAAGTCACTCCTGGCGGGGGTCGCCTGAGACATGTCCTCCCATATCTTCTGGTTTGGCCTACCCCGTCGAAACTGGGGTGTAACTTTGCGTGGGCCGCCCTGGCCGCTTGGGGTTCTCAGCTTGGTTTGGGCTCCCTTGTTTCCGGGGGGTTTGACGGAGTTTTGCCCTAGTTGATTCCCTGGCAGCGCATCTCACTGGACCCCGCCGAAAAAACCTTGAGTCCCCACCAGGAATTCCCGGCTCCGCATCTTGGAGGTTCAAATCCTCCAGGTTTGGTTCTACCCAGATGCTTGGAATGGTGTCGCCCTGACTAAAACCCCATGACACCAGGTTGAACCATCTGCCACATTGCCCAATCTGGATGTTGGGTGCTCAATTGGACCAGAGAGTAGAAGGAAAGAACAGGCCCAAGGGAACGGCCCGCCAACCGGCCAGTCCCCAATTGGACAGACAACGAAAGCAACAGCCCCTGGCATTCGGCCAACTGAACATCGACAAGCAGAAAACCAAAACTACAACCGACCTCAAACAAACCGCTCACCAATTCTCCAGAGCGAATGGAACCAAGCTCAAGGGTATGCAGAGGCTCAGTGCATCCAATTCGCACCGAGGAGCGGAATAGGCTAAAAAGCCGCAGTTCACCTGGCCCGAGCAGGGGACTTCCGGGTCACAAAGACCTGAAAACGGGTTGGATGCAGTTTTGTGGATTTCACCCCTGGATGACCAAAAAAAGAACTACACAGAAGCCCACAAAAGGCGCATCCCAACCGCTCTCCGGAAAAATGACATATAAAAAATGAGGCCCATATTCGCACCGATGGCAAAGGATCTATCCCCTGATTGTTTGGTCTATTTGATCGTGCTTCAAGTCACTGAGCCATGGCAAACTGGTGAGTTGGGAACTGGTCCAGTTGATGCCTGCACCTTTCGGGGACGTTGTTGAAATGGATATGACTATTCATGTATACATTTATCTACAAACATGGAAATAGATACACCTATATCCATTTGTACGCATGTGTGTGTGTGTGGTGTATGCATGCATATGTATATACGCATAATTCTGAGTATATTAGAGTATATACTCATTAGGATTGACCCTGTTCTCATTATCCATACGACTATTTTACTATTATAACTATTATCAGTACTGTGTTTGTTTTCGTTAGTATCATAGCATTGTTAATGTGTGTTGTAGCTATTATCATCATTTTTACTATCATGAGTTTGATTATCATTATTATTATCATTACAAGCTTCGTTAACTAATCTCAAGCATCCTTAACATGCTTAACACTGCTGAATGATCTTATCACTAACTGTGGTTCTCACAATGATTCCATCAGGTCTGCCCGAAAGACTCCTCACGGGCAAAGCTGTGGCCCTGATGGATTCCCCAATACCAGTCCTACATTCCAATGTGCAGTGAATCATGCGATTCAAGCCAAAGTCTTGGGACCGCTTGATAGACGAACTCGGACGACCCAGGCATTCATCTGCATCAGCAATGACTGTTATGCAGGGTACCCAAAACAACAATTGTTTACCCACAGAAGTCTCATGATGTGTTCCCCCCAAACATTGCACCATTCACGCAATGCCCCGGAAAGCGCAATGTTTGATCCTTGCCACAAGGAGAACTTGGTAAAATAAAATCCACACCCAGCCCCAGTCAAAAGAAACACGTGCCGGCTGCGCCGATTTGTCCTGTGCCGAGGGCACGTACTTCCCGTGCTCGCGCACGGCCTCCTCCTTCTGTCTGTGCGCCCTAGCATTTTATCCACGGGCGTCAGTTTGGGGCATGGATGGCCTTTGTGCGACATCAGATTGGACCAGACTACTTCATCACTTCAACGGGGGCTGCCTTGATATCTCCGAACCTGGACCTAAAACCCGATTTCCCGCTGCCATTGTTTGGAGGGGCTTAAGGCTTGCCACAGGCAAGGCACAGCTGTTTTGGAGCTCCATATGGGATTGTCTGTTTTATTGAACTCCCAAAACGGGCTGCTTGCCTGCTTGCCTGTGGTTTCCCCTTAAAGCAGCCGCAAAAAGGGTATCGTCTATAAAGACATACCCATACTGGCTATATTTGTACATGGCTTTGCCACTTGGCTTAAGCAGAAAGAAGAACTTCAAACACAAACCACAATCCAAAAAACCAACGAAGGGTTGCTCTGTGCCAGGAGGCAACAGAAGGAAATCAAGAAGATATCTATATCATATATCATATCCAAGCGGCGAGAGGCGAAATTTAAACGGCTCAAAGGCCCCAAAAGGTGTTGCTTCGCAAACCGGTGGCGATGTCTCTTCTCTGGTCGGCCAACCTTTCAAAGGCGCCATGACCTCTGGTATGACGACCTAGTCAATGTGTCGATGCTTCATGTACTGTTGCTCAATCATGGGAAACCAGCCACCAAAAGTGCCCAAATCCGAACATAGGTTGATGGAAGCAAGCATTCAGGCGTTCTATCTTTTGTCTGGAGTCACTGGTGGCGACTCCCAGCAACCAGCTTGGTTGTCCGGGAAGCGGATCCAAGGAAGCTTTTGTCTCACTGGCAGATGAACATACAACCTAGGAGACACTATCATGATGCCTGACCCAGTTGGACCGAACTACAGTTCGGCAGTACGATCCTGAAAAGCAGGTCATGTTTTTTTTTGAGTTGGCACCCTTTGAGGGTCAGTAGAGGGCAAAACAAATGGATCGAGAACCACGCCGGGTTCCACGGCGTATTTCAAAGCCACACCTATGAAACCTTGATGTGCGTGTGTCAGTGCGACTTATGACCTTTACACGTATCCAAACTAACCCATTCCTCAAAGCCCTCGCAAGATTTGCCAGGGGCGCTGGTAGGTCAGGGCAGCACAGGGAAGAAGTAGCAGCACTGAGGTGAAGGGACACACCTCAGGGGCACGGCTTCAGGTGATGTTGAGCAAGTGGTTGCCTTGGTCTTACTCTGAGCAAAGTCCACTTCACACAAGTTGCTAGGTGGCTTATCCCAGTATGCATGGGCATTCAGTCATCCCAACTGGTGCAGGATTTGTCCATCCACAGTGAATCAATGCCTCAAAACTACAGTAGGGCTCCCTAAATCATTTTGTGTCTTTCAGGTGTCCGTTCAAAACCAACGAACAAAGTGTTCCGCCTGACAAAGGCATGTGGCTTTTGAGTAGTTGTGAACGGCGACGTGTTGCGGAACAAAACAACAACACTTCGCTAACGTGATACCATGTTTTGTTCAAGTATTTGGTAAATGGGTATGTGCCAAAATTGGGGGACCCAAACATTGTTTTCCTTTTGGTGCCCCTTTAAGCCCTCTGAAAAGGGTACCCTCTGAAAACCACACCCCGTATACTGTGAAACATGTTACATGCTTCTTGATGTGCTTCCGGAAAGCACTTCAAAATATTCAAGCAACCGAGACCACGATTCGCAGACTGAGTCCTTGCACCCTTAGAGGCTTGACCGTTGTCACTGCGTTAACCACATTGTCTCTAGTTTGCACGCAGCAAGCGAACAATCACTGTGAGAATTCACATGGACCCAACTCCGTGCTCCTACATAGGAGGCTTCTCTGTGCATGCATGCTTTGGGGGTTCGCTGACAGTTTGCCCAGGAGCAATATGAGAAAACCAACAACGAAGCACAAGGCTGCCTGTTTGCGGTCAGACTGACAAGTCGTCGCTCTTTTCCATACATCACGCCAAACATGAATGATGTCAACTACATCCCAACGGCAGGGTTGACCAGCCACAAACACAAAGCAAAATAAGGCAGATCCCAGCATCGACACGCGAGCCTTGGACAGTGTTTTTCCCCTTTGAACACGCGACAATTAGCTGCCCCTGGAATTATCAGCTACTGTTCATGACCCGCAACTTCACCCAGGACTCAACTTTTAAAATAAACGCCAGCCACTGTCCCCAAACAAATGCCTGTGCACTTGTTTCCTTTTCTTGAGGAGAAAGGACGAGCTCTGTTTCTTGATGCCTGCTTCAAGCTGACAGGGGCACGTTGGTCCCATCATGCAGCACCCTGAACTTTGGGAAGCCCTGTGGCGGAATGATGCCTTTTGATAAAGAGAAGCAAATCAACCATTTTCAGGGGCCCTTTTGTACAAAAAAGCGGGGAACATTCTCCGTAGCATTTGGCTTCGAGCCGGATTCGGCGAAATCTGAGGGCGCGGCATACAGGGACAGCGCCACCCCCAGGGCCGACAGGCCGCCCTTGCCTGCCTTGGCACGAGTCTCTACTGAACAAGCTGTTCTTTATGGGAAAATAGCCATAGCCATTGTCCATGAGAAGCTTGGGAGTTGGGGTTGGAGGTCCAAAGTCTAACCAAAAAGCCAAGTGCTGAACCACTCGTGGTGCAAGCAATGTACCCCGGTGCGTACGTCGCCTACCGCCAGGTTCCTGTGACTGGGGTGTCGATGTGCGCACGAGCGTGCAGCAGCAACAGGGGTTAGTCAAACTGGAGCCTAGAGGGGAGCAAAACGCAGGCAGCAAACAAAAGCAAAAAAACAAATGCCGCCGAAGAGCCGCGGCAGACGCAGCGGCCGTCAAGAAGGCCAGGTGCTGCAGGTTCTGTAGCGACAGCGCAGCGCCTCAAATGTTGCCAGCTGGAGCTTGCCCCGGTGAGGTTTATTCTCTGTATGGAAGTGTCTCCTCAAGAAACTCCGAAAGTGTCCGGGTCCCAGCTCCGCCGCGCACAATTTGAAAAAGGGTCAGCTCGCCCCGAAGTCCACGTGCCCGAATCTGGGCCCGCTGCAGCTGGCAACCGTCAGTGGGTTCAGCAAGTAGAAGAGGCCTGTCACAAGTCGTGTCTCTGGGGCTCCAGGGGCTTAGCCTCACTGGGTGTGAGGGTTTGGTGTGCCTGCGCGATCTTAAGTGCCCAGGGGCCTCTCAATCGAAACCACGGAAATACATCATCAGCAGTACATCATCAGCAGCTGGAGCCATGTTCATGGTGACAAGATTGGCTTTGGAATGCAAACATAAGCTTCTCATTTTGACTAACGCGTGTATGGTTGAAACGTCTAAATGATGGTGGCCCCCACACCAACTGGTTTAAGACGGCGAACCAAATTGACTCCATTTCACTGTTTGCGGATCAGTCCACAACAAACCTCCGAAGTGAACACGTGGCTAGGAATTGGCATAGGGACTCTTTGGTGGAAATGATTGTCGGATTTATGTCCACATTCCACCGACCATGTGCGAGGCCCTTCAAAACATAGCCATTTTGACCATGGAGGAGCCAACTCTGAGGTGTCACCAAGGTCAGGGCCCACAAAGGCGGGGCTCAGCACGTCCTGCGAAGGCGCAACCCTGTCCGCAGGCTAGGTGGGGCCTTGACCAAGGCAAAGTTCCGGAGGTCTAGGGGTTGTCTCACAAGACAGGGGCCCCCCAAACGGGGCGCGCTTTCCCTTTGACACAACAGGGTACTCAAAGATATGCCCAGCTCCCTCAGAGAGTTTCACAAAGTCTCGGGCCTGCTGTCTTGGCTCTTGAACCGCAGATTCCCCTCTTGTTGTATTAACCAGGGCATCGGGACCTGTACATGTATCCTCTGACCATGATTGGAAACCTGCATCACATAGAGCAATTTGCACAGGTGAAGTCCAAACAGCACTGTTGGTGCCAAATGGGAAATTTGAGGTAAAGCTGGATAGCTGGTTTCCACTGGATTCCCTGCAGGATCCCCTTCTTAAGGTGAAGCCATTTTGAAGCCCACCCGAAAACTAATCTGAAGTTGGTGCAAAATAGACTATGACTATGTGTTTACTCCATACCGGTACATACCGGGAGGAGGGATTTAGTGGGCGGCGTTCGGCATACTGGCGGGCCGGTGTTTGGTCCATTGCTTGTCCGTTTGGGGAACCCCTTTGGCCCATGGTTGCAGAAAATCCCATTTGCAATACCAAGACCCTCCGCATGACTTGACCATTTCACAGAAGGGTTCCATTGGTCTGTAGCCCCGTCCTCGATTCCCTCCGCCACCAGAAGCGATGGGACCTTCTCTTGACTGGCCACCAAAGGGATGGACCTGGGCGCCGGCAAGGGTTGTCTGCCTTTCTGTTGCGTAGCTTCCCTGCTAAAAATGGTCCACACCCCCAACAGGTCACCTGTTTCTGCCGTCACTGGGACGACCAACCAAAGATAGTGTTGGAAGACTTCCACCCTCATGAATGGTCACTGGTCCACCGCCATGATTGTTGAAAGAGAACACATATCTTCAATGAACTGCAATTTCACCACATGAGAGTGTCTCGAATAAAACTGCATGGGCGAGGCTACACCCTCCCCAACATCATGAACAAGTCGCCAAAAGTTTGGTCACTTCCCCCCTCCCCCCGTCCCAAACCGCCCTCTGGGCCCCCCGGCGCCGCCGCCCAGCCCGGCGCCGCCTGGAAGGCGCTGCGGTACTTCACCGCCAGCTGACGCAGCAGCAGGGCCGTGGCCTCGCGACGGTCGCGACCCGCCCGCAACGCGAGGCTGCGCGGCGCGAGAAGTGGAGCGCCTCGGGGAAGAACATCGAGGTGAAGCAAGCTTCTTAGACTCTCGCTCCCAAACGAAGCGTGGGGGAGCAAATCTGGACATCTAGGCGTTGAGAAATGCGTGGGATCAAGCTGGGGCTTCAAACATCCAGGGAATAACCCGGGCACAAGTGTATGGAAGGTTGTTGTTAGGCCGGCATTTGGGTAGCGGCATTTTGAGGGCCTGGGAACATGACAAATTACAATCCTCCAACTCTTGATGATTGAAATCTCAAACTTTCAAACTACAAACTGGTTTGCAACCACTTTAAAGGCCAGAAATACATGGGGCGTTATGTCCAAACACATATGTTTGAGGTCTTACCTCAAAACAACATACGTAGACATTTGGGTTTGCCGCTATCGGATTTTCATTAAGATTCTTTTGAGATCCCCAAGAGAAGTCACACACAGTTGACAGTTGTGGCTCAAAGTGGGAAGCACTCCAATTGGTTGCAAAATGAATGGAGTGCAAAACAGGTTCACCCCAGACAAAAACTGGGGCTTCCCAAATGGGTCTTTATAACTGAACCCCCAATCAAATGAGTTGATGCTAAAGCAGCAAGAGCGCAGCCCTGGGACTCCAGTTTTGCATTTGGGACTTGCCCAGCCAGGTTTTTTACTCATCCGTTGGGCCTTGCCATAAATGGAACGTAGAAAATGCTGGGATGTGGGTGGCGCTATTCAATCACTGTCCTACTGAGAAAGAGCACTTGTTGTACTCTCTTTGGGTGCATTCCTATTGCCTGAATGCCGCAATACGGAAAGCTTGAGGCTTGGTTTGCATCCTGCGATAGACAAACTCGACACGAAAAGGCAGAAAAACACCAGATGCCACCAATCAAAACACAAAGGCCGCATCCTTCGCATTGCGGCTTAAGACTGCAGTGCCGGCGATGGCCACTGCAGTGACTGCAGAATTAAAGACAAACACTTCAAATCAAGGCTGTGTTCCGCTGTCAGCAGTGGAACCAGTCAGTTCGAACAGCATGGGAGGAGAGAATAACCGTGCTGTGCAATCCAAAGTTGAAGGTTTGTCAGCCAAGGATGTTGATGCGCCAGTCTCCAAACTTAAAAAAATAGTGACTCGCAATACTTCACCAACCAGGCCACTCTCATGGCCTGTTCGTGAGATCTCTACCAAAAGGTAAACCTAAACCAGTTGACCTCTCAGCAGTGGCTGAAACAACAGCTGCACGGTGAAAATAAAGCCCACACTAAAACCAGAAGAAATGCAACTGCTTTCAAGCAACCTGACAAACCGAAAAACGGGACATCCATATTCTCTGTCACTACTCACTTGGACCCAGCTCCCCCACCGGTTTCCGGTTTGGCGCGCCAGGTCCACCAGCACCAAGAAGCTGAAGTGCGCCAATGGCCCCACCTGGCCGCCGACTGAATGGACTGGATTCCCAAAGCACGTGGTCTTCTGAATGTACGCGCATTATGCATAGATGTATGTATACTATGTATACATATGTGTATGCGTGCATACCTTTAAGTATGGAATTTTACATTCATGCATCCCCATGCGTATGTGCATGTCTGTTGATAAATGCAATATATATATATATATATTTACATTTATATGTATGTGTATATATATATACACTGTGAGCCTCATTGAACATCTGCATGTCCCATCCCGCCAGCGAGCCTGGTCCAGCTGCTGCAAGAAGAGCAGCACCAGGGGAGGCTGATGGCCTCACTAGCTCCCCTCCACCCCACCTCGACATCCCGCCGTTCCGCCCTCCTGTTGCATCATAGAGTCATAACAAATGGATACATCTGACAACGACCAGCTGCTATCATTTGGTGGACTATCCTTTGTGAGGCTATACTATACTTTACGCAAGGTGAAAGCGCCATCCATGGGCAGTGGCTCAATTCATGAAAACGACAAACATGCAAATGGTGCAAAAAAAGCTGTGCGTCCGTCCCGGCCCTCAAATCACAACAAGACCCCGCATGTTTACTCTATCGATCAATTGAAGCAGCCCTTGGCCAGCGGGAAAGCTTAGCCTTGACTACAACTTGACTTGACCTGGAAATCCGCTAGCTGGTCATTGCCGGCCGTGCATGCATGTATGTATGTGTGTATCTGTGTATGTGTGTATGTGGCATGTCTGTATGTGTGTATATGTGCATGTGTGCATGAGTGAATGTGTGTATGTGTAAGCGTGTCTATGTGTATGCGTGCGTATGTGTGTATGTCTGTCTCTCTGTTTGTGTATGCGCATATGTGTATGTGTTGATGTGTGGATGGTGTTGTTTTATCGACGTATATATGTATCTGTATGTATGTGTGTATGTATGTATGTACGTACGTATGTATGTATGTATGTATGTATGTATGTACGCATCTACGTACCTATGTATCTGCGTATCCATGTATCTATGTATGTATACATGTATGCATACATGTATGCCATGTTTGCATGCATGCATGTGGATGTGTGTAAATGTGCATGTGTGTGCGTGTCTGCCTGTATGTGTGTAGGTGTGCAGCTGTTGTGCATATGTGTATATGTACGCACGTGCGGGTGCGTGTGTGTGTGTGTGTATGCGTGCGTGAGTGCGTGCGTGCATGTGTGTGTGTGTGTCTGTGTACGTGTACATACTTACTTACGTACTTACGTAGGTACGTATGTACGTATGTCTGTCTGTCTGCCTGCCTGTATGTATGTACGTATGTATGTAGTACTGTATGTGCGTGTGTGTGTGTGTGTGTGCATGCATGTATGTATGTATGCATGCATGCATGCATGCATGCATGCATGTATGTGTGTATGTATGTATGTATGTATGTATGTATGTATGTATGTATGTATGTGTGTGTGTGTGCGTGTGTGTGTGTGTGTATGTATGTATGTGTGCTGTATGTATGTATGTATGTATGCATGTATGTATGTATGTATGTGTGTATGTATGTGTGTGTGTCTGTATGTATGTATGTATGTATGTATGTATGTATGTATGTATGTATGTATGTATGTATGTATGTGTGTGTATGTATGTATGTGTGTGTATGTATATATGTATGTATGTATGTATGTATGTATGTATGTACGTATGTATGTAGTACTGTATGTGCGTCTGTGTGTGTGCATGCATGTACGTATGTATGCATGCATGCATGTATGTATGTATGAATATTTTGTATGTAGGTAGGTAGGTATGTGCGTATGTATGTATGTATGTATGTATGTATGTATGTATGTATGTATGTATGTATGTATGTATGTATGTATGTATCTGTGCGTGTATGTATGTATGTATGTATGTATGTATGTATGTATGTATGTATGTATCTATGTATGCATGCATGCATGCATGCATGCATGCATGCATGAATGTGTGCATGTATGTATGTATGCGTGTATGTGTGTATGGGTGTATGCATGTGCGTACGTGCGTGCGTGCGTGCATGCGTGCGTGTGTGCGTGCATGCGTGCGTGCGTGCGTGCGTGGGTGGGTGGGTGGGTGTGTGTGTGTGTGTGGGTGTGCGTGTGCGTGTGCTTGTGCGTGTGCGTGTGTGTGTGTGTTTGTGAGTGTGTGTGTGTGTGTGTGTGTGTGTGTGTCTGTCTGTCTGTCTGTCTGTCTGTCTGTCTGTCTGTCTGTCTGTCTGTCTGTCTGTCTGTCTGTCTGTCTGTCTGTCTGTCTGTCTGTCTGTCTGTCTGTCTGTCTGTCTGTCTGTCTGTCTGTCTGTCTGTCTGTCTGTCTGTCTGTCTGTCTGTCTGTCTGTCTGTCTGTCTGTCTGTCTGTCTGTCTGTCTGTCTGTCTGTCTGTCTGTCTGTCTGTCTGTCTGTCTGTCTGTCTGTCTGTCTGTCTGTCTGTCTGTCTGTCTGTCTGTCTGTCTGTCTGTCTGTCTGTCTGTCTGTCTGTCTGTCTGTCTGTCTGTCTGTCTGTGTTTGCGTGCATGATAGTATATACATACGTGTATATTCTATACATACATAATATATATATATACACTGTATATATTCACATTATATGTATATGCTGCTATTCATACGCACACACACACACATTCATTTAGTTAGCCATTGTACTTTGGCATGTCCGTCTGAGGGAACCCCTGTTCGCTGTGTCAGTGAAAGCTACGGCGACTGTCTGAGGCCCCCACAGGTGTCGCCCGCATAGGGCGAGATGCCGTTGCTGAGGTAGAAAAGGCCTTCTTTGAGCCTGGCCAAAGAGGGGTAGATCAACAAGATGGCTGTTGAGGTGTTGTTCCTTTGGCTTCCTTCTTGCCTAGCTGGCTTTTAGCTCCTTTGAAACAGCCCCAAAAACATATCAAGCAATAAGCACGAGTTTGCACTCAAACACCCAGTGATTGTGGCAATGCCTTGGTCCTAGTTGAGTTGCGTCATAGTCAATGACCTACCCGTGTTCAGTCAAGAGCAAGGTCGGCTCTTTTTCGAGCGAAGGAAGCCGATTGTCTAGAATGGCAACTCCTGCCCCTTTACTCATTGAGAACAAAAAGCGTGACCAATCAATCCTGGTTTCCGTCTGGCCGTGAACTGGAGCGTCGATGATTGCTGGTGCCAGGTGCGTTGGGGTGGGGTGCAACAAGAGGTTCCAGCACACTCGGTTGAGGGCCACGGCACAAGAGGCGAGTTCTTTGGCATGAAGCGTCAGGTTGCACCAAGGGGTCAGCAACCCCCAGGGGTCCAGTCAAACCAGACCCCTCGGATCTCACAGCAATCAAGTCAGAGCGCCAAAGTAGAGTTGTTGGAGCAAGGGCATCCAAGAGGATTCCCACAGGCTTAATGGGGCCAGACATGTGCCCAAAAACACAGGTGTCGCTGGAGGTCCGCTTCAAAGTTGCACTCTACTACTCTACTGGCGGTTCCAGTTCAAAAAGGCACTTTTGAAGGGCCAAACAAGCCCACGAAACTGAGGGACCCCTGAGCAGCTGAGCAGCGCGGTCGAACAAATCGAGCCACCCTCCCGCGAGCGGGATGTGTGAGCCTCACGTGCGAGGTCACTGGGCTGTTCAGCTCCAAATGCTCCTCCAGCATCTCTGGCGCACGTGCCTGAGCGCGTTGAAGCGCACAAGCGAACAAGTCCGGGTATGGCACCTGTTGGGGTTGTGGAGTAAGTTTGAGAAAACAAAGGTACACCAGCCAATTTGTGCGCATGCCAACCAGAATGGCCTGCGGCCTTCCTCTCGGCAAAGCAGCATAAACCCCCGCCCGCACGCCCACACGGCCCTCCCCAAATTGAAGGAGATTGCCTTTGGAGTTCAAGACTGAATGTAGGCTCAGCTCTCACACACAATGCACCCAAAGGCGATCTGCTATTTTTTGTTCGCCGGCAACAGCATTTGTTGTCAAAGCATGTGGCTGCTTTTGCCGACAACAGCCCAAGTCCATCAAGTATGTGGCTGCCATGGCAACATTTCGTCCAATGACAGCCAGAAAAGGATGTTCTTGATTTGGCTCCTGAGGAGATCAAATCAGCATGGCGCTCAGGCGGCGGGCATCAACGCTCTCTGCAGCAGTGGCCTGCTCAGTGGCATCCTTGGCGGCATCTGTTGCGGCCTGCAAGACGGCAGTTGCCTGCTCGCCCACATCCTGGGTGGCATCCTGAAGGGCAGCCGAGCTGTCCTCTGCAGCCTTCTGGATGGCTGCTGCATGCGTCTCTGCTGCCTTCTTCACTGCAGCTGCCTGCTCCTCTGTGGCCTGCTTGACAGCATCTGCGCTCTCCTCCGCGGCCTCCTGTGCTGCCTTGGTCTGTGCAGCCAACTTGTCAGCAACCTCCTTGGCGGCTGCAGCAGCGGCCTCCTGGGCAGCCTTGGTCTGCGCAGCCAGCTTGTCTGCAGCAGCTTGAGTGTCTGCCGCAAGCTTGTCCGCAGCCGCCTTGGCCGCTGCTGCGGCCTCCTCCGTAGTCGCCGGCAAGGCCGCAGCAACCTTCTCAGCTGCCTCCTTCACGTCTGCTGCCTTGGAGTCCTCAGCTTTGTCAAGGGCAGTTCCCAGCACCTCTGCGGCAGCAGCCGCTGGGTCTGCCTGCGCCTCCTCTGCATCCTTGGCCGCGTCCTTGGCCTTAGACGCAGCCTCTGAGATCTCTTCAAGTTTTTCCATGGGGTCCAAAGTCACCTTGGCCTCAGCCGGCTCCGTTGCAGGCTCGGTCGCAGCATCAGCCGCCGCAGGCTTCGCTGCGGCAGGCTTCACTGCAGACTTCGCCGCAGACTTCGCTGACTCCTCCGCCTTGTCTTTGGCTTTCTCCGTCTGCTCTTTGATCAGCGCCTGCTTTGCTTCATCATCCTTGATCTTCAAATAACTGTCAATGTCCACCAGGCCCTTTGCCTCGTTCCAGAACTTGTTCTTGTAAACGTAGAGCATGCCATTCTCGGACGTGGGTTCACAAGTTCCAAGCATCTCCACCACGCCCTGCTCCTTCATGCCCTCGAAGACAAAACCCTGCGTTTTCTTGCCGGTGGGGATCTTGACTCCGGGAACCAGCTCCACGAATTTCGGGACCTCCTTGACAAACTTGGAAGTCGCGCCAAGGTTCACATCATTCATGCCGCCCAGGCAGGAGCCGATCTTTCCGTAGCCGGCGAACATGAGGTCGCCAGCATTGTTGTTCAGGATTTGCTCCACCACGCTGTAGCCGATCTTAGTGCCTTTGGTCATGCCCACTACGTCAACGGAGCAAACGTCGCTGGGCACGCAGAAGGCAGAGTAGGCCGCTTCCATCCAATCCTTGTTGTGGAAAGAGTAAGCGTAATTGCACTGGTCGTTGGCCACGGCATCTTCACTTGCCTTGGTGCACGTGTTCTTTTCGGTGTACTTCTCCAGAAGCCCCTTTTTAGCACCCGAGCCGAACGTGTTGACATTGACGTCGTTCGCGGCTTCACTGGCCAAGGAGGTCGCGCCTCCGCAGCACTCCAGGACCAGGGAAAGCTCTCCTACAAGGTTACTCAAAGGCCTTTCAATCGTCGCCCGCCAAAAGAAGACTTATTTGATGGGCAAAAGATGCTCTTTCAACCGCTAGACAAACAACTGGTGCGTCCAAACCAAGAGCACGCGCGCCAAGACGCGACGCGGCATTGTGGTGAGGCTTCCTCCGTGCCCTCTGTGCAAGTTACCCCTGCGCAAGTTCCCTTAAACGTCTTCCTTCGCAAGATGCACAAGGCTCACAGTGTTTCTGCGCAAGTGAGTTTGTGCTCACTCTCTTTGCACACCGGCACAAGTTCTTGCCGCATTTGTGTAGCAAGTTTCTCTGCGAAAGATTGCCATTGAAATTTTACCTACGCAAGTTCTCTACGCAAGTTCGCGGCGCAGGTTTCTCTATGCAAGTTCGTCTGTGCAAGTTATTGATGCAAGCTTCTCTTCGTAAGTTCTCTGCGCACGTTCTCTACAAGTTTGCCGGCGCGGGAACCGCGAGCAGAGGCGAAGGCCCGCCCGATCCCCGCAAAGGGTTGTGGGAGAAGTACGCAAGGTCGCAAAAGTCCAAACTGTTTGAAGGTCAAACAGGGTGGTGCGGGAATGCTAAAGTGTGGCAAAAGCCCCACAAGTTGTGTAAAAGGCGCTGCTTTTGAAGGTCGACGAGAGCCTTATCTGTGAGAGGGTCGAAGTTTCAAGTCTTCGGGCTAAGGTGCACACGCGACTCTTTTGGCACAAGTCTTCAAGCGCAATCTCACGCGGGATCTCTCTGGGCAATCTCTCCATGACATCCGTCCTTGACATCTCTCGGTGTAATCTCAAATGCGATCTCTCGGAGCGATCTCTCCTTGACATTTCTCTGTGCAGTCTCTCAGGCGGTCTCTGAGTGAACATGTCTCGGCCCAATCTCTTGGGAGATATCTCGATCTCTTGGTAACATCTCTCTGTGCAATCTCTTGGACAATCTCGGGTGGAGTTTCCCGGCGCAATCTCTTGGGCGCAATCTCTTGGGCGCAATCTCTTGGACGATCTGTTGGTGCTACTCCTCTGTGAAATCTCTCGGGCGGGTTTATCACAAAACCCTTCGCTATTATTTCGGGAAAAGTAACAAACAGGTACAAGTATGATCCTGGAATTTGCCCCGTTAATAGACGACCAAACAGGATATAAATATATATATATACATATATATATATATATGTGTGGTCACCCCCATCCCAAGGCCCTCTACTTCTTGCACAAAACAAATCTATTTGCAGATGTTCAGTGTCGCTTGGCTTGCAAATGATTGCAGAAAGCACTGTAGTTTACAGAAAGCACTGTATTTTACAGTGTTTTGTCAGACTGTTTATATTGCGCCAGATGTTCTTTGTTTGCCTTATGCAAAACAAGACTCAAGAAAGCAACAAACACAAAAACGACAAGCGTTTTTCGGATGCAACTTTGACAGTGTTGAAAACACTGTTTTTTGCAGTGTGTGCAAGGGAAACAGTGTTTTGTGGTTCTTGATGGTTGCATCCTCAAAACATGCACGCTCAACAGAATGCAGCAAATCCAACCTGAAAGCTCCAAAACCTGCACAGGCTCAACAAATGCAAAAATGCAAAACATAGATGTCGGAGGTCGGGGCTTGATTGGTCTAGGTGTTTATATGTTTATTGTATTTGTTTGAGCCTGTGCAGCTTTCAGAGCTTTTAGCTCTGGATTGTTGCATTTGTTTGTGCAAGATTTGGAGCTTTGGGTTCTAAAAAATGCAAAACATCCAAACCTGAAAGCTCCAAAACCTGCACAGGCAAAACAAATGCGAAAATGCAAAACCCAGATGTCAGAGGTCGTTGCTTGATTGAAGTATGTTTCTGCACTTGTTGCATAAATAAGGAAACAATTGTATATATAATACATAATGTTCCAAAAACAAAACAACGTGTACATACCATGCGCTTTCCCCAAAAAAACTGGTGCTCACGAGCTTTCATGTGGATTGCGGAGCGCGCGCATGCCGTTCCAAATAGGAACAAGTCGGTTTTGGGGAATTGGTTTTGGACTTGTTCTTGCTCCATGCATCCTGAACTCCGGTACGAGAACTTTCCGTAGCACTGGAACTAAATGAGCTAGCACGTGAAAAGGTTAGGAAAACAGATAGCAAAGTGCGCAGAATGACTTGTGCAAAGTGATGGGGGAAAGTAACCAAGTAAAACTGTCTGACGTTGAAAGCGAGATACTGCTGCTTCTGTTGCGTTCCTTACTTTCAGCTTTCACGGGTCCGTCGTGCTTTTACTGGGGGAAAGCAACCAACTGCCAACAGCAAAACTAGTTTTCCTTTGTAACTGGGAACGGGTCTCAGTCATCCAAAATGGGGACTCCCGGTCCTAAGGAAGGGTTGCTGGCCTGGAGCAGCGACGCGTATCCGCCCACCTTGCCGCCCATGGTCATCTTGCCCCCGCTCGCCACCTGTCAAAAACAAAAGGGCTCTACTCAAAGGGATAAAAAAAAAGAAAAAGAAAAAAAGGATGCAGAAGGCCTCACAGCTTCCCGCACCTTTTTGAAGGCAAACTGTCCCCTATCCTTCACTCACCATGGGGGTTCTGCTTTAAGGGAACCGCATTTTGGTTGGCAAAGGCAATTTTCAAATTCAACATGTTGATGCCCCCTCACTTTGAAACGAACCCGGGTTTGGACTGTAGCTCACCTCGGCTCCGGAAGTCGCTCCACCGACGAACTCATAGGCCGCAGCCGGCACGGCCGCCAAAGCTAGCAAAGCCAACGCCATGTCTTTCCAGGTACAAGGGGCTTGAAAATGCACTTGATGCGCGTGAGCCAAAATGCTGCATTTGACATGGGTGCGTCTCACACAAACTAAACCCTAATCCAAAGTTCCAGTGCTCGGGCAGCGATTGGCGACTAATCCTTAAACGGCAATGATTTGCAAGGCTTTCCTCTCTCAGGAATGTGCTGAGGCAAAGGCAAAGTACAAGGCATATCTCAACGCGATGCCGACGGCGCCTTGGTCATCACACAAAGGTCACAAACGTGGCCACTCAGGTGGTCACTTGTTCAACTTGTGATAAGAGATGTCAACCACACACGCCTTGGTCAAGCTTTAGCAGCTTCCTCCTTCATTGCATTCAGTGCAGCAACAATGGCGTTTGGCGTTGAACTAGCCTGGATGGGTCAAGGGTCAAGAGTGGGGAACTCCATCGGTGCAAAGGTGATATGTGATTCCAAAAGGAAAGCATGAGGAGCCCTCTGCGGTTCACGCAAGCGCGGGTGGGGTGGGGGGAAGTCTCTGAGAGCTGCACTTCCGAGCCACATGGCGAGCCCGATACGACGCGGCGTGCGTTGGCAGCGTGTACACACTTGGGGAAAGCGTGGTGTGCATTCTGCCAGCTAAGCAAGACCAGCAGACGATAACTGACATGTGTATATATCTATGTACTTCAGCGCCCTACAGGAACCGGTATCTTGTAAAACCAAGGCAAATGCAAGTCATGATGCTGCGGGAAGGCAAAATTTAAGCCTACGATGCAGTATTGAACACATTGGAATTGTGCTCTGGCGAGTGATTGTTCTTGGTGCAACGCTGGCTAAGCGTGCCTGGTTGGTCTTCCGCTATGGCTGAAGCATGCGGTGTTCTTTGAGCAGAATGCATGCCTGCTGCATGATTGAAACCACACAGATGGAAAATCAAATCCAACAAATACAAATCAAATCACTTGCAACTCAAATCACATGCCCACATGAATGCAAATATGTGTCCATGGCAAATGGCTGCGATGTTCGGCGATGCGACAACACGGTCAACCACCAGCAAAGGTGACAAGTGAGTGAGTGTTTGGCGGGAATGTCGCTTCATGTTGTGATACAAACCCATGGGCCACTTGGGTATTGCAAGATAATGATGACAAGTTTGACAGCCACTCGCGCTTGCGTCAACAATGCGGGTTTTGCCAAGCAACATGCATCTTGTCACAAAGCCAGCCTCACAACCAGGCACTCGTGTGTATATTTCTTACATGACGTCTCACATGAGCTACTGCAGTTATTGCTACATGGTCGGGTGTTCCAACCTCACTCGCCAACCCTGCACCCGTTTGGACTTGTTGATCTCGTTCCCAACGCCGTTTTGTGATCTCAAGCACCGCCTTGTCATGGCCCTACCTCGCTTTGCGTGTGTTCCTATCTCGTTCTGCACCTAATTCAGCATGTTGCCCCAAATATGTGTCTGCCCGGCCTTTGCTGTAATCGGCTGTAATCAAAGGCAGTTAATATGTATTACGCACACATACACAGGAACACGCGCGTACACGCACATACACAAACATACACAAACGCACACTGAACACCGGAAGTGACGCACAAACGGAAGTACTTTGACTATAACCAGTGGAAGGTGTCCAATATGATCAGACTGAGTAAGCCCTAAGGTTGGTTCCCCTCTAACTTCTTCCAACACACAAGTTGGCGTCGACAATGATGTGGAGACACAGCCACAAGCACCTCATTTCATTGCATCACAGCGTGGCACAGGCCCCCGGGCCAGAGTGACAAGCGCTTGGAGGCGCTCACCCGGCGATCGCATCTGAAGGCAAGTGAGCCGGCGGATTCGCACGCAGCTCGCAGAAAATCGCTTCATTCAAAATGTGTTCTGCGTGGTAAATATTCATGCATCTAGCAGGTGTGTGTGTGTGTGCCTTGAGCTTGCAATGCTTGAAGGAATGTGCCCATGTACATACACGTAGGTAGGTTTGTAGATATGTACGTAGGCATCTCGAAACTTGGGCGGTAGCAAGAAGCTTACCTAGCCATTGATCGCATACTCCTCTTCTTCAGGCAAGTAAAGCTGATCCTGATTCGCTTTCAAGACCAGCTGTGTACTGGCTATTGCAAGCTACGCAAGTCTAGAGCTGGCCACCAGAAACACGCCTACACCCCATTCGTCCTGACAACCTCTTGTAGGTAGATGACACAGACCAGCTGCAGCATGGATGCACGTCTGGTGGTTTGGTGACTTCTTGTCAAAACATGGTGGATCCGGCTTAAGGGGGTTCGGGTCTTTAGGGTTCAATTGTAGGTGTTGGGAGCTTTGGGGTTTGGGTTTGGGGCGGATTCGGTTTTAGGTTTAGGGTTTTGGTGTTGAGGTCCAGGGGATTTTAGGCTTGGGCCTTTAGTCTTTAGGTTTAGGATTTGAGGGTCTGATTCTGTTTGGGCTGTAGGGCTTAAGATTTTTTTTGGGCTTTCAAGGGTTTCGAACTATTTAGAGTCTGAAGTACGGTTTAGGGTGTAGGCAAAGGCAAAGACAAGCTCGGCAGCAAGGGCAATTCCTGCAAAGGCTTCCCTTTTCGTTCTTGAGTTTACAAGTTGACCAACTGCAACTCCGGTCAAAGCGCTGAGCTCTCGATAGCCTCAAACACTGGCCCTCAGGAAATTGTTTTTTTCTCTATTCTTTCCCGAGTGCACGATGCTTCGGATTCCTCCGAAGTCGCCATTCGAATTCTTCGGTCTCCTGCTGGCACCATTCATCAAACACCGTGTAAGCTGGAGTCCAGCCTGGGAGTCACAGCGAGACTCCAGTCCCTTGAGTTGCACCCATCCGTTTTACTGCCCTTTGGCTCTCCGCCTTATGGTGCGTGGTGTTGTTTCATTGCTGTTATTTTGGCGTATTTACCCCCGAAGCATCGCTCCAAAAACAGTCAGTAAAGGGGCCTGTAGTAGATGCTTGATTGACTTGTTGACTTGGCCAACTGCATTTGCAACTTGAGGATCCAACATCTCCGTGCCCAGTGCGTAACATATCTACAACATGTTCTTGTTACCTGTATCAAGCTTCACCCAGCTGCGCTGTCGTCCTCCTGAAGCCTGCAGGCTTTGGGGGCCTTCAGGCCCACCCGCATCCCTTAGGCTGCACTCGGGCCACAACTCTACGGACAAAAACGCGGATGAGGTGAGCCTGGGAGCTGGCGACGCATCAACGCGTAAGGCACTGGGCAGCACTGAGGGCTGGCGAGACTATCTGGCCAGTGCTGAGCTCCGGTCCTCTTTCACGCCACACACAGTGTCTCCAGATGGATGCTATGCGAAGCTGGGCTGAAATTTGTTTGTTTCCGTTCAGCAAACGTTTCTGATGTGGCTATGATGAGATGCGGGTGGCAGGGACAAAGCTTGCATAATGCGCTATGGATATTTTCGTCAAGTGCTGGACGGAGAAGCCGGCAAGAGATCCTGGAAACGTTGCACAAAAATGAGAGACTCCCAAGGGCGCGCCAACTGAACAGGCTCCTATGCGCCCTTGATTATCGTTCGTTTGCTGGTTACAAGCACGCTTGCTCGGCAACACACTGCTTTGCAGGGTTCTACCTGTAAGTTCTGTTGCGTCTCTGTCTTGCATGGGATAAATGCGTTGAACAGCGAATTCACTGCGGATTTAACATTGGCTATCTGTTTTGCCAACTTGTCAATGATTCATGCACAAATCACACTTTTTGGCGGGCTCGCGCACCCAAACAGAAACCGCAACATCCTCTCATACTGCACCCTGAGCAGCGTCTTTCAGCTGCTTCTGGCCGCTTCTTGCTACTCACCCGCAGGGGCGCATAAGGCGCCCCCCCCCTTGGGACCACCCCCGCCTCCCTCCCGCCCGTCCCCTCGCCTGGGGCAGCCCCAAGAATTCTCCGCCTCCAACCTTTCCTCGTCGCAGAAGGCCTTGATCGCCTCCTCGCCAGATGCGGAGGGGGAGGTTGGGGTGTCCTCCCAGTTCCTTTCCTGAAGCTTTGAGTCTGTTCGCCAGAAACATGGAATGCCCCTCCCCAAAATTCTTGACTTAGGCGGGCATCCTGGGCCAAGATTGGCGCGAGCAACGCCAGAGTGCCGATGCATTTCATCCAAAGAAAGAACAGGTCAGTCACGCCATGCACAAGTTCACACCTGGAGCCTCTCTGAGTTCTGCCTAGGATTAGTCTATTGACCATCACGCGCACCCTATTCCCTGCAAGTGAAAGGTAGAACATCCGTGGCCCAATGCCATGGGGAAAACGACTCATCACAAGGAGGTGAGGTGCTTTCCCCTGTTGGTCTTGAAGAAAACTAGCCATGGTAAATGCGCTATTTGTTGGTGGTACACTAAGCCTTAAACGAGACGGAAGGCAAGAACACAAGGGACGCTACCGGAGACCACTCGCCTTTCTCTGTACCTGTCTCCCTCGCCTCAATGTGCACCTTTCTTCCGCCTGGCACGACATGCCAAATCTAAGAGCTCACGCTGAATCAATCAATTCGACGAATCCATTTCATGCAGTCAGGCACCAATCCTACAAATTCAATCAACATGTGCAGCCTGTGTTGTCTAAGGTAGAGAAACATTCGGGGAAAACAAGCTTAGCACCTCTTTGAAGAAGTCAAGCCTCCCTTCTGACAAACCAAGTCTGACCCAAGCCTACCTCGCAAGCAGGCCGGGACCGCGCTTCAGCTGATTTGGCAAAGGCAGGGAGAGAAAGAGGAATGGATCCTGAGAAGAGCAAGGATCAGTGGCTGGTGTCTGCGCTCTTGGGTCTTTCTCAAAATGGGACAATGGAATCCTGTTAAGGGTTGTGCGTTCCCTGCACCACCCGGAAAGGGATCGAACATGCAAACAGAATCCCCAGATGCATAGTGCTGCGAAAGGTTCGATGTGCTGTGCATTTAGATCCATGCCGAGAAGGTACAATCTGGTGCTTCGACCCAACTTGGCCGTGGCGGCCTCGGATCCAACGATCCAACCGGGCGCCTGGTGGTTGC